TTATCAGAATGTGTGTTCTTATGTAAAAAGAATGATGATTAAAATTTAAATTACTTTTATCTTTAAAATATAAAAGCTGTTTCCATATGAAAGCATTTCCAGGCCCTCTGAAAGCATTTGGAAACCATAACTTGAGGACCAGAAATGGATACACTCCCTTTCTTTCAGGTGCTGGTATTATAGTACACAGAGCCTGCCTCCACATCATCACTTGCTTATCACTCACTAGTCTTTGCCACTAGCCTGAGCTTACTGAAGGCAGACATTTTGTCTTCAAGCCAGGCATAATCTCAATACTCTAGAAAGCTGAGGCAGGAAAATCACAAGTTCAACACTAGCCTAGACACCATAACAATTTAGTGAGACCTTGTCTCAAAATAAATTTTTTTTAAAAAAAGATTGTATCTTTGGTGCCTAACCCAGTGATCTGGGAATAATAGGTGCCCATTCAAGGATTCTACCCATTTTTCAAACTGGGTTGCTCATCATTTCATTATTGATCTATAGGATTATTTTATATGTGCCTTGGTTACTTTCTCATTGCTGACACAAAATACCCAACACCCAAAGTTAAAGGAGGAAAGGTTTATTTCAGCTCACAGTTTGTAGAGGTTTCAGTCCATATTCGGCTGGTTCCAAGGCAGAACAGCATGGCAGAGGGGCATCGCAGAGGACAGTCTATGGCATGGCAAGCAGAAGGTAGTGAGCAGCAAGCAGCCAGCAGCAAGCCTGTCTTCCATCTTTCTCTTTTATTCCATTCAGGCTACCACCCTTTTGAGTGGTGCCACTGACACCCAAGATGGGGCTTCCATTATGCATGCCTAGAACTATGCTAAACCAATTTAGTCATCATATACCTTCAATTCTAGTATCACACCCTAACCCAGCATCACCCACCCATGATCCAGCCACCTCCTCAAAGCCTCACCTATGAGTGCATGAGGCTTTGGGGAGACATCTAGGTATAAGCCATAATAATAAGTAACAGGTATAAGTCCTCCATCAGACATGCATTGTTCATATTTTCAGTCTACATCTGGCCTTTCACTTTAATACTGTCTACATTACTTTTAATGGATACTTATTTCCCCACTATAGTGGCAGCTTCTTAATCTATAATTCTATATTCATGGATATTTACATTTATAGGAAAAAAATGTGCTTCAGTGGAAAACTGCATTTTCTAGAGCACACGCTTCTAGAGTCTAGATTATCTGATTCTGATTCTGCACCTTTTATTGTCTTTGAATCACTTTATTCTATAAATTATATGTAACTGATAGAAGTGCATCTACAGACATGCAAATAAATTCTATCTGGTGGTTTCAATTAACTTCTTTCTGCCACTGTGGAAGAAGCCAATTCTGCCTCAATTTGCACATTCATTTTAATATTCTGATTTATACATGTGTCTGAGCTTTGACTTGTCTTTTGAAATGATAACATCTTACCAGTTCCTTCATTAGTAATGAATTAAATCTCTAATTTGTGTTCATTTTATATTTGTAGTCTTGCTTTTACCTTTTATAAAATTATCAGAACATTGTTTTCGTTTCTTTTCCTTTTACAGAGGAGGTTGCAGCCCTTATTGCACACTTATGTTTGTGCAGAAGTCTCTGAAGACTAAACAAGTCTTGATGCTCTTTTCATGAATCAAACCAACTTTCAGGAAGGGATTTAACATCTTAATGAAGGCATGAGTGATGAGAACAGACATAAATAGGGAAAAGGTCAAATTAAGCACAAACCCAAGAAATAAAACTAATGGCAGGATTTCTGAGATAGTAAGGCAGAGTGAATGAGAAACATGTTTGTTTATTGGGCACTTACTATTCTCAGACCGCTGCATTAGGCACCAGACATAATCTTTACCCTTGGGAAGCTCAGGTTAGAGGCAAAGACAAATAAGCAAATGAGTGGGATTGTATCTATTTCTGGTCCTCTGGTTATGGTTTTTGAGTGCTTTCAGGGTGCCTAGAAATGCTCTCATATGGAAACAGCTTTTATATTTGAAAAAAAAAAAAGGGAAATTAAATTTTGATCTTCACTTTTTTTCACATAAGAACACATTCTAATAACAAAGTTATTTGGCTTCATCGCTAATATATGAAATATTTATTAAACTGCTCATGGCTGGGTATCAGCACAATCAACTTGTGAGTCCTCTCATTTCTAATGGCAACAACTCCAAGGGTGGTGAATTAACATATTACACTGATGTCAGAGGTCATTTCAGGAAACAAGCCGTGGTATATCACCAGGTATAAAAGATTTTAGCATAGGAATTAGCAGTTTGCTGGACTATTAAGAGGTGTAGGACATGGGCCGGGGATTTAGCTCAGTAGTTTTGCCACCTGCTGCGCAAGCACAAGGACCTGAGTTCCATCCCTGGTACCAAAAAAAAAGAGTTAGGACAGAGGTCAAAGGAGGAGCGATCAAACAGGAAGGAAGCAGACACTGGAGATCTCAGTTTGAACCACCACGGCCTGAAAAATTTCTGGCAAGCTGCTGAAGTTCTCAGGAGCCTCTGAAAACCTATCCTCACCCTATCCTCCTCACTGCCTGCATCTGCGAAAGTTGTGATTCTCCTGAGTTCCTCAGGAAGTTTCTGTAAATCTCATCTGCCTGTGGGTCTGGCTATGAAGAATGGTTTTCCCCTTTTTACCTTCAAGTTTCACACAAGTTCTTCTCAGTGGCAAACTCTAACTTGGAATCATACTAAGATAAGGATCTGAGGGCATATGTTTTTCAGCTTCTCTTCTGCAAAACAAATCCAGGAGGGCAAGACGGTCCCCATAAAAAAAAACCCAGTGTCTGCCACACAGCTGAGGCATAAGAAATATTAACCATCATCATCATCATTCATGAAGCAACCCAGATACTGAGCAAGTGCTTAACTTCTTGATGTTTGAAACTCCTATTTCTCTTCCAGGATTTCTGTCTACCTCCAGCTTCCAACAAGGAATGGGTAGTCATGACCCTAGAAGGCAAGTGCTGAATAATTCAGTGGTGTTGAAAAATATATGAGAGGCTTTATGGGCTAATGGTAACACTCCAAGCACAACAGTGAGACTTGAGGTCTAGTCCTGACTTTGGTGCTAGTGGCTCTGTGATTTTGGACAAACTACTGAACCATCTTGTTAACTGTTTTATTGAATAACTCAAGAGGCTGCAATACTGAGAAGAGCATGTCATCTCTGGGGTGTTCTTCCTAAGAATGCCTCAATCTAACTGAGAGAAAACAGGCAAACCCAAATATAAGAGCATTCTAAAAAGAAAAAAAATTGGTCAGTATCCCTCAAAATTGTTGAGGTCAAGAAAAACGAGACTGAGGATTTGTCAGATTAGAGGAGCCTAAGGAGACATGACACAAAATAAATGCCAGAAGGGATCTTGCATTGAATCCTGAAAGCCAAAAAACAAGTTAGTGGAAAACCAAGTGAAACATGAAGATAGTCTAGAGTTAGCAGTATTGTACCCATGTTAATTTAATTATGTACTATGGTTATATGAGCTGGTGACACCAGAGGAAGGTGAGTGAAGTATATATAGGAACTCTGTACTATTTCTGCAACTCTTCTGTAAGTCAAAATAATAAGTTAAAAAATGGAAGAATGTGCTATCTAAATAATACCGAGAGTAAATTAATCATTTTGTGCTGGGCCTGCAGATTATGTAGCCAGTCCCATACGAAGTGCAGTACACAGAGAACTGCACAAAACCCATTTCCTGTGAAAAATGAACAACAGCAAAATGATTCCTATGAGTTTGAGGGGATCCTGGAAGGTGCAGAGATAGGAACTGCTTGATCTAAAAGGGTCTTAGGGACAGAAATAACAATAAATAACAATGGCTAATGGCTAAAGACCAGATGGGACAAAAGGACATTTCAACTGATGGCTACAGAAAATGACAAGAATCTAATTCTGATGTCCTCTACCTAGCTTGGCATTGTTCAAGACCCCTAGAACTTAGAAGCATGTCTGGCGAAAATGAACACATCCACCCACAGGTATTCCCCCAAACCTACCTCTGATCATGTCCTGGGTTACTCTGCCTTCCATGGAAACTCAGAAGCCTTGAATGATCAAAGTTGTTTCCACTCCCAGTTCATGGAGCCTCAAAATAGAAATTAAAGCCAAATATGGTGGCATACACTTGTAATCCCAGCACTCTGGGAGGCTGAGGCAGGAGAATTTCAAATTCAAGCCCAGCCTAGGCATCTTAGCAAGACCCTGTCTCAAAAAATACAAAAAAAGGGGGGCGTCTGGGGATGTAGCTCAGTGCAAAGGCCCTGAGTTTCATCCCCAGTACCACAAAAGAAAAAAAAGTAGAAATTAAGTTATCCAAAAATAAAGTTATATTTCCTGCCACTTGTGTTTGTGGATTGAGAGTTGGATCTGTCACCCATCAATTTTCTAAACTAATTTTACTAATTATGTGGAAATTACCAATTATCGCATCTCAAAAGAGGTGAGCATATTTTTTAGAGTGTTATAAAAGGTCATTGTAAATTTAATGTATTGCTTGTTTTTGCTCATCAAGGAAGAAAGCAAACACTCTAGCTGTCACATTTATGAAATTGGCTGAAAATGTTATTAATATAAAACACTGCAGATAACAGTACAAGTTCTGTAAAATGAGTTCATTAAAAATACAACTAGGGCCAGGGATTTAGCTCAGTCGTTTCGCTGCCTGCTGCACAAGCACAAGGACCCGAGTTCGATCCCCGGTACCAAAAAAAAAAAAACAAAAAAACAAACAACTAGCTGGGCATGGTGGAGGATACCTGTAATTCCAGCTACTTAAGAGGCTGAAGCTGGACTATTGTGAGTTCTAGACCATGCTGGGCAACTTAGCAAAAACCCGTCTCAAAAAACAACCACCATCAACATATCTCTAGTAAGACTTTTAAATGTTTATTGATTTTACTTTGGAAGCAAATGTTAAAGATAAACATGTAGTAAGAACAAGTTTCAAGAACAGACATTTATTGGGGTAATACAATAAAAAGATTAAGCTGAAGCATTTTGAAGACAGGAATTTAGTTTAAAATAAAATGTGAAATATCTTTATAAAATCTATTTTGCTCAAATGTCTGTATTACTATTAAGCCATGGGAACTGTTTTGCACACGTTTTTAAAATAAAAGACACTGCTGGAACTAGGGCTGTAGCTTAGTAGTAGAGCACTTCCCTAGCATGCACAAAGCCCTGTGTTAGATCCCCAGCACTGAAAAAAAATAAAAAAATTAAAAAAACTGTCATCCAACACAGTAGCCACTATCTACCTATTATTTAATTCTAAATTTTAATTAGCTAAAATGAGATAAAACCTTAAATTTACTTCATCTAATTAGCCACATCTCACGTGCTCAAAAACTACATGTGCCCAGTGACTACCACATTGGACAATATAAATTTATTTTTCAAATTTGTTATGTTTATGTTTCCATTGTTATGGAAAGTTCTATTAAGATAAGGCTGCTCTTATATATGCAATCACCATAAAGCATAAACCTTATAAGTACTGAAATATGTTTGCAAATATAGTTTTTTGTAGTTCTGCTTCCAGTCCAAGGAATATTTTAGAGATCAGAAAATGCAAATCTAACTTGAATTCTACATATACAAGTTGAACTTTATTCTTGCCAATTATATAGTCTTACTTTTATAATTTTATTTTTAACTGACATAATAACTGCATATATTTTGGGGGCATAATATGATGTGTTTATAATGTGGATTACTTTTATGTATTAGCTCTATTACTAGTAATTTGTACAATTATTTATGAAACTGAATGGTGAAGGTAAAGACTTAGATGAATCTAACTCTGTACAAAACTCTTTTGCCCCTTATGGGAGAAAAAGTTTTATATGAAGATTTTAAAAATTATCTACTTTTTAAAACCTTTGGGGCGGCGATTTAGCTCACTGGTTTCGCCGCCTACTGCACAAGTGCAAGGACCCGAGTTCGATCCCCGGTACCAAAAAAAAACCAACAAAAAAACCCCATCAGACTTAAAACCTTTGTAGGCCTAGCCTAAATATATAAACATTATATGTAGAAAAACTATAAAGGCAACTACTATAGCAAATTATTTATTTAGACAACAGAGTACTGAAAACTAAATTCTGTTCAGGCATGGTAGTGCATACCTGTAATTCCAGGATTCAGGAGGCTGAGGCAGTGGCTCATGAATTGAAGGCCAGCCTGGGCTACACAGTGAGAAATCTTATCAACAAATAAAAAATAAATTTTAAAATTTCTTTTTTGCTCCTGGGATTGAACCCAAGGCCTCAAGCATGTTAAACATGTGCTCTACTGCCTAGGTACACTCTCAGGTCTCCAAAACCAATCTTTCATGTCTAATCTTTATAAAACTGTACTAAATTTCACTGAAATATTCTAAAAGTTGAACTTAACTTTCCCAAGACATTTCATATAAAAATATGCATTCAATAAAGTAGTTGTACAAAAACATCTTAAACTATTTCACAGATCACAAAAATAAGACGACTTGTCAATTTTCATGTAAATTGTAGTAACTGACTGGCTGACATTACTTTCTGTTGAATTTACCTTATCCCAAAACTGAAATTAGTTAAGGTCAATTATCTAAGACAAACCTATGAGTCACAAGAAAATGGCCAAAGTAACTTATACAAGGGAAAAACTTGCTTAATAATTAAAATTTGCATTAAGTGAATGAGGACTGTTTGACAGGTTGAAAGCTGAAAGAGGGTATTATAGCTCACAAAATGTTTCTTACACAAATGATGAAATTGTACTTATTTCCTTTGGATAAAACATTGAAGAATTTTCTTTAAAATTAGGGGCTTAGGTTAAAAATAAAATCCTACTCATGAGTAAAATAGATTTTTTAAAACTCTAATAATTCTGCCAATATCCTTTAAAACTATTTTCATCTCATTAAATTTCTGACTATTTTCTTTCATTTAAATATTGTGGGATATAAATTTGTATGCATTCTTGACTAGTAAAATCTATCTGAAAATATACAAAATATTAAAACCTTCACCCAGACACTTTGGAAACCAAGAATAAGGTTAGTGTCTGCATTTGGTCAGATTCTTATTATTCACAGTGACATAGTCTTTAAACTTAAAACTACTTAAAAGGTATCAAAACATCTCCTGATATAATTTTATGGGTTCAGCCTGAGAAAACGTCTATGATAAAATGTTATCATGAGTAGTTAAAAGAATACTGTTCTTATCAGGAGTAAATCAAAAGAACATTAAGTCTTGTGTCTGGAAGGCTTAGGTCAGACAAACGTTATATCAATCCTAAGATTCTAAAGAATGTATAAGAAAGTGAGAGTGGGTATGTTGGACGTATGTAAATCACACCTCCCTTCTAAATCACCAGTTTATATCTAAACTGTGTTGTTTCAATTTATTTGATAAATACAGAGTGTCTATTACATGCAAGTTACTATGCTTGGTATTGTGGTTTGTGCTTCCAACCACAGCTCTCTGTCTATCTACCTGTGCTTCACTGACACTCAGATTTCACCTATCACTAAATGCTAAATGTGTTACTCTACATTCAAATAGCAACAATAACAACTGTTGAGTTTGCTACTATTCCCTCAATCAGAGGTTCATAGCAGCATCCTACCCATCATTTCGTTCAAAGACAAAACCATTACATATCTTCCTACTGCAATTCTGTCTCCCTTTGCAGGCAGAAAAAAAGAGCTTTGGCTATTTCTTCAGGTTTGTTTTGGAATTATAACTGAGAGGCTTACAGACAATCTAACATTTTAAGAAAGTGGGATGGCTGACATTCAAATGTTTGAGTCGGTTTCATCATTCTCTCTTGGCTCTGGCTATGTTGAAGGATTCACTGATGAAAGCCGCTTCTGTACTTTGACCCTAGAGTCCTCAAAGTCAGATCTAAAACTATGGAGATAGCTGTTGATGGCGATCACACACAATTGCCAGTCGCATCCAGTTTCTTCTAGATCATAAGCAGAGAAGTTGTCTTGGAGAAATTCTGGTGGTGGTAAAGTCCCAAAACAGAACAGTTACTTCTGAGAGAAATGAATTTTTTCACCCCTAATTCTACTGTTTTTCGGGGGGGGCGTGCTATGGGGCTAAATTCAGGGTATCACTTGTGCTAAGCACACACTCTTCCACTGAGCTATACCTCTAGCCCAGTATCTTTGAAATTTTAACTAAAATGTATCAAACATGCATCTAGCCTGCTATTCATTATCTCAAACACAGGCATGTTAAGCCTTTGTAATCCACAGGAGGCTGCAGTGTCTTTAACCTTGGAGATGCAAGAAGCTGAAACTGCTAACGTTTTTTTTTTTGCTACTCCTGGATTTATATCTGACAAAAGGGATGACTATCTTTAGATCAGGATGACTTGCATAAGTGAAAATAACAGAGAATCATAATTCAAGCACTCTGAAAGTGGGAGGACAAAGGGAGAGACAGAGAAGAAAAATGTTTATTAGAAGATCAGAGTTGCCTTTGATACTTTTTAATGTATATTACCTCAGTACTTTTGAGCCCTTACAAGAGAATTTAGTGATCCCTACAACTTGGCATTAGTTTGCAACATTAACCTCACTTTTCACTAGGGTTAATAGACTGATAAACAGGACAATGCCATTAACACCGCATATATCCAAAATAAAGGTGTATCAAAGTGAAAAGGTTTTCATGCCCAAAGGAATAAAGGAAACATTTATATTAGGTCAACGGATTCAGTATCAAGCTCTCTTCTGCTGAACTGAATATTTTTATTAACAAAAGTTAGGGAAAGGCTTATTCATGGGCCCATGAAGCAAAGCTGGGATGGGTAATTAACACACGGGAAGACAAATACACCATCTCAAAACCTGCAACAGGCAGTGGCAAAGGGCCAAAACTGGTTGGTGTATTCTCTAAAACACTGGTCCTGGAAGAAGTTTCTTGAGGAAAAGACTCCGACTGTATAAATGGGAAATGTTATTCCCCACTGGGGGATTTACATTATACATGGCATATTAAATACTTTGCGAAATTCCACAGTGCAGATGTGTAACATCAGTAACTGTCGTTGTTCTAAGATTATAAGTGCTTATAAGTGCAGTGGCTCTGGTAGGGCACATAAATGAGGGAGATGACACTGCATGACAAGAGGGCCAAGCCTGAGCAGAGCTGGAAGGCTTGACAGCTAAAGGCATTCAAAACATGTTTTAAAATTGAGAGTCCACTGAGGCCCTTATGGTGCTTACTAGCTTAAAGTCTTTGCTGATTATTTGACTAAGAAGCATGTTATTCATGAAATACTTATCAACTCCAGCTGTCTTTGAGAAACAATTTGAGGAAAGCTGACCTGTACTAACAGGATAAAATGAAGAAGAAATAATATGAAATCCTACACTGATATTTAAACATACTAACAGCAGAAATGATGTTCTGGTTTGGATCTAATATGTGCCTCCAAAGTCTCAGGTGATTGCATCATGGGAGCACTATACTTACTCATCAGTGCATTTAGGAAGGTTGAACCTCCTGGCCTGGAGCCAGGTTGAAGGTGGGTCACTAGAGGTGTGCCCTGGAAGTGTATTTTCTTGTCCTTGCCTTCTCCTTTCTTTTTCTCTGCTTCTTGGCTGCCATGAGGTAAGCAACTTTCCTCAACCATAGCCCTCCACCGTGCTGCTTCTGCCTTGGAGCCAGCTGATCATGCACCAAAATAAACCTTGCCTCCTTTAAGTTGTAGGTGTCAAATATTTTGTCCCAGCGACGGGAGAGAGACTATTATACATGATAACAGCCAAAATGCTAACAATATCAGTACTACATAAATGTCAGTATACAGGAAAAGATATCTAGGGCTCTTAGTTGACCATAAACTTAAAAGAAGCAAGTGCCATTGTAGGCTATATTAACAACCTAGTAGGTAATAGTGCTACTGCACTGTGGATCGACTTGAGCACATCTGGAGACCATAATAGAATCAGATCAGGGAAACATGGCAATATAGGAAAAGGTTGGATAGAATGCTTCCTCACCAACTCTCATGCTTCCAGGTGGAGATATCTCTACATTGGAAAGTTTGGAAGAATTGGGCATGTATGATTCAAGAATGAAGCTGATATTTTTATCTCTACCTGATTCAAGTGACTGTCTCTCACTTCATTCTGAAGGGCAAAGGTTATTATCTCCTAAAGCCCTAGCCAGAAGTAATAGCTGTCTTTAACTATCTGATGGCCCAGCCTGTGAAAAATGATGGATTGACCTGAAGAGCTAACTAGGACAAACGTGTAATTTACAAGGGGGTACATTTTAAGTCACTACAAGAAAAAGCTTTGCATGAACTGGAGCTCTTTTGAAATGAGTGGATCGCCTTATTGAGACAGAGGGTGGCTCATGATCGCAAGCATTTAAAGGCCCGGGGCAGGCAATTCTGCATCAAAGCTGAGATGGGAAATACAGCTGTGGGTGGGACACTGGATTAAAAGACGTGTAAAGAACTTCCTCTTGCTACAATTTTATAGTTCTGTAATATACAGACATGGATGGAGGGATGTGTAAGGAGTAAGAGTTTTTTTATTACAAAACTGTAGCCTATTAACTTTCTCCATATAAAGTAGTCTCTAGAGAGCCCTAGAGAGCCCTTAAGAGACAATGAACTCTTGTCAAAGAGAATTTCTTATGCGAAATCAACTCCTTTGCTTAATGGACATAGTTATCCTTGACTACTAAGTTCCTTCAAAAACAATCTTAGGATAAGAAATGTTACTAGAATAGAAAAATAACTTAGTTTATCCATTCAATGGGATAATAATCACCAGTTAAAATGAACAGGTCTCTAAAAACAATGTAAAGGGACAAAAAGTGTACAAAAGGATATGTACTGCACATTCTCATTTATGTACATTAAAACTATAGAACAGTATTGTATATTATTTATGGCTCTATTAACATAGGTAACATGAGAATGATCTATCCAACTCCTGGACTGTGATTACTTCTAGGGAGGAAGAAAAGGGAAAGAGATGATGGGCTGTAGTCTTCATTATATAAACAATACCTTATTATTTTTAAAATGTCTATGTCAGTAATGGTTAGACAAGTACTGATTATATTATTATATTCTTCTCCATACATTTTAGTGTAACTGTTTGCAATGAAGTGATACTTTCATAGATTACATTAGAGGCTATAAGCCCAGGCCTTCTACTGAAGACATCTCCTCCTATCTCTGGTCACTCAGTTTTTGTTTTGGCTCTTTCAGTTCTCCAAGTTCATTTTATCCTTATATTAAAGTGCAATATGCTTCCTTGTTGGCTTCTACTCTTTGGGTCTGGCTCTGCCCCTAGGGATAACAATGACTCCTCTGTTTTTTCTCTGCTGAAATAAGTCACAGGATTGCCCTTTCTACAAAGCAACAGAACTTTGAATTTTATGAGAAATCTATTAAAATATGCCCTATGTGAATAGTATGTCAAACTAGTGAGTATTTTTTACTGCAAGAGACATTTTCTTGATTTCCATGTAATTCAGTAAGGCAGAAAACAAGATGAAATATACAAAAATATTTTTCATCAACTTTTAAGGAATTATGCTAGTTCAAATATTAAAGAACTATAAAAGTAACCTTGCTTCCCTCACACTAAGACATTATTTCTTCTATAAATACATTCATTTCCAAATTAGTTTAAAAAACCTTTTCTATTTTAAGGTATGAGGACATTGGGTTTGGAATTTTTGCCTGGTGGGTTAACTCAGTGGTGTTCAAATTGTAAGGTAAGGTGGCCGGGGATTTAGCTCAGTGGTTTCGCCGCCTGCTGTGCAAGCACAAGGGCCCGAGTTCAATCCCCGGTACAAAAAAAAAATTAAAAAATAAAACTAATTAGACCATACATATTAAAAAAAAAAAATTGTAAGGTAAGGGGCCGGGGATTTAGCTCAGTGGTTTCGCTGCCTGCTGTGCAAGCGCAAAGACCCAAGTTCTATCCCCAGTACCAAAAAAAAAAAAAAAAACTTAGCAAATTGTAAGGTAAGATCCATTACTAGGTTGCAAAGTCAGTCACAGCAACATTTTTAAAAGAAATATAACAGAAGCTGGGTGTGGTGGCACACATCTATATTTCTAGCACTCAGAAGGCTGAGGCAGGAGGATCACCACAAGTTTAAGGCCAGCCTGAACTATAAAGTCAGACTCTGTCTCCCTACATTCAAAAATTAGCAGTAAAGTTGAAAATAAAAGAAAAAAAAAAAAAAAGAAAGAAAAAGAATATAATAGAAAACACTGGAATATAACTTTTTTTTTTCCGGTACCAGGGATTGAACTCAGGAACTTGTGCTTGAAGGCAAGCGCCACTGAACTAAATCCCCAGCTGGACTACAACTCTTATACAAAGAGAAAATACTGTTTGTGAAACTTTTGCTTTGATTTTTTTTCTTTTTTTTAATAAACCACATACACATTCATGGACTAGGTCGCAATGTAAATTTTTTTTTTCACTGCAAGTTGCAGTAAAATTTTAAAAAGTTGAAAAAATTGCGTCAGATGACAGCAAATGCTTACGAAAGGAGTAGTAAGCAGAGCTTTAGTTTAGTATAAAACACAATGTTGTTCCAATTTGCTGCATATGAAGGAAATCAGGTTAGGTGGGGTCCAGAGCTGTCTTTCCTGAGTACCAGAAACACAAGAAAATACTCTTGCTTCCTACTGTCCAAATTTAAGATTTCATACAATTGCTTTTAGAAGCTTTCTTACTTCATTTACATGTCACAGATAGAGACTACAATGTGCTAATATTCATCATAAAAAACTAGCAAATTAACCTGCTGTGGTATGGTTGGCACTTCTGCAAATTGATGAGGCCTTTCAACTTTGACCTTAAGCCTCAAAGAAGGTGTTTGAGTTTCCATACCCTCAGCAGGGAGGACAGAGCAGGGAGTCAGTCAATAACCCCTTTCCTATCATAGTAAACCCATTCAGGGCAGAGCAATTAGCCCTAAGCATCCAAATGTAAAGAGAGATACAATTAACTTTGTTATTCTCTAACTAGGGACTTAGTGTAAGCACCACCTCTCCTGAGAACATACACAAACTGGATGGATTCTTTCTGCCCTTCTTCCCTAAAACAGCTGGCTTGTATTTATTCCAACATACTGTATATGTAACAAACCTCGGATGGCATTAATCCTATTGGAGTCAAGGGCACACAGGCCTTGCTCTAAACTGCCATAGACGTTACTTCTTATCAGGACATCTTCTGTGAACAGGTGGTGGAGGAGGTATTTGGCTGACTCCTCTGGGCAACGCTTGGATTTTGCTATATCTATTACTGAATTTGGTATCTTTATATGCCTGGATGGATTTCCAAAATATCCTGGAAGCAAAAAAGAAAGACATCAATTTTCATGGCAGATGTTAGGTTGCATTTTTTAAAAGGCTAATTTTTCTGACTTGGGGAGGTGGGGGAGACTGGGGATTGAAGTCAGGGTCTTTTGTTTCACACTGAGCTACAGCCCTGACCCTTCTTTTATTTTTGAGTCAAGGTCCGGCCTAGGCTCTACCTTGCAATCTTCCTGCCTCAGCCTCCCAGAATGCTGGGATTATAGGCATGAGCCACCATTCCTGGCTGATTTTTCTGAATTTTTAGACATGAGAATTTGAGAAGTTAAAAGAATGGAAGCCTTAAGTTTTAGTGGATTGTGAGTTAGCATGAGAAATGAGGCAGAAATCACTGATAAGGTGATTACACGTGTTCCCATTGTTCAAGAGGAAGATTTAGTATTCTGCTACCTTTTAGGATACAATAAGTTTTAAAATTTCACTTACTAATAAATTTCAAGTAGTTTTAAGTATTGTTTCTCTACTTATAAGAAAAGCTTTTCCAAAAATAAGCACCATGTTTCTTACTGAAATATTTAAATTTTTAAGATGTAGGTTTTCTATTTAGTATTAAATATTTCTATTTAGTATTAAACTCATTTTACAAATCAACACACTGATGATTCATCTGAAATATATTTTAGATATATTGAAGCTGAGCTGACAAAATAAATGTTAATTTAAGCTTTTCAATTCTCAATTCTAGTTCATCTTCATCTCTCTGCAGTTCATGGTGATACACTTAGTTGATCTGTTCCCAGGCAGAGCTTGTACGACACCTGTAAACCAAGCTCCCCAGATGAGATACTTTTTCTTTCCCACAGCCTTGGGGCCATTCTTGGGGCCTAGCTCCTACCTGCCATAGGTTTGATTTGTACTTCGCTTCTTTAAGTACAGGAGCTAGTTATCTGTTGATTTTTGTTGTTTAATTTAGCCAGTCTGTTTCTACAGTGCATACAACCTTAACGAATACAGCAGTTAGATGATGATGATGATGATGATTTTGGTACCAGGGATCAAACTCGGGACCTTGCGCTTGTGAAAAGGCGGAACCAATGAGCTAAATCCCCAGACCCAGATTACTTTTATAATGGAAAAATAAAATATAAAAATATATCACGTCAATAATTCTGTTTGGGGCTGGGTATTTAGCTCAGTGGTTCCACCACCTGCCTCAGAAGCACGAGGTCCCGAGTTCAATCCCCAGTACCAAAAAATAATAATAATAAAAATAATTCTGTTTGAACAGGATCTCAGGTAACATTCTACTGAAGGCTGACATGGAAGATAGGGTAAAGACACAATAAAGTTTTGCCATCTCGGGGACACTTATTGGTAGTGATGATGCTAAAGGCCAGCAGTGAGGCACTAGGGGCTAGTGGAACTGCCCCCTACAGAACCGCCACTTGACACAAATGAAAGCAGGACATGACTTCGATAGACAGCTGGCAGTGGGAATGCAACATTCTGAGGAATGGGATTAATTCATGCCAAAAACTTGCTGAGCATGAGCAATGTGCCAGACACAGAGAATATGAACTTCCAGCTGATCCCAGCTGCAGCTCCTTCCCCTTCACCTGCAGAGGCAGGTGCCTGAGAGTTTATACTTCTCAGATGAGTGGGTAAAGAGCTGCCCTCCACAGGAAAAATAACGGATTCAGCTTAACTTTACAAATGACCAGTTTTAGAACCAGGCATCGATATTTTATTAGCTCATTAATATGAGGATAAATAGCTTCAATTTCTTATGAAATTTTTTCCAACATATGTAAAAATAGAATAGCATAGTGAGTCCCCTGAACACATAACCCAGATCCCATATATATCACCAAGAAAATTTATTTTTAAAACCCACCTAGTGATTCAGGAGTGATCACTGCATTATCACTGCTGTCAGGTTTAGTATTACTGCTCTGCACAGAATTCCCATTTTCTTGTTTCTAAGGCCCTTGTCTATGGAGACAACTGAGAATTACCTTTCCTACCACCAGCCCTTCAAGCATTCATGTGTACAGATGTTGGTATAATGGGGTTGGGAGGGGTGTCTTTATTTTTGTCAACAATGTATAAACCAAGTCCCATAGTAACAAAGTATGTACAAACGCTCCTCATTAACAACCCAGTTCCATTCCTGTGACTGTCTTAGTTACTTTTCTTGTTGCTGAGACAAAATACTCGAAACCCAAAGTTAAAGGAGTAAAGGTTTATTTTGACTCAGTTTGTAGAGTTCTCAGTTCCTAATTGGCTGGCTCCAAGGAAGGGTGGCCTGGCAGGGGGGCATCACAGAGGAGAAAGTTTATGGCAGGCAGAAGGCAGCAAAGCAGTGAAATAGTGAAGCAGCAGCGAGTGACAACAGCAGCCCTCTTTTCATCCTTTATATTGTATCTGGGCTACCTGCCCTAGCACGGATACCCTTAGACCCAGCACCCTTAATCCTAGCATTGTGCCATGAGTCAATCCCAGAATCGCATCCTTAAACTCTGCATCACACACCCTAGGTCCAGCCACCTCTGAAAAGCCTCACCTATAACCACATGAGGCTTTGGGGGGACATCTAGATGTAAGCCATAACAGCTGCGAAATGGGGAATTGTATATAGTATGTACATTACAATGTTCAGAACAAAGAAACTGTCAAAGAAAATTCCAACTTGATGACTTTGCTTTTATTTGCATAACTTACATGCAGTACTGTAATATATAACAGAACATAAAGCAGTGGGTTAAGTGTGAACAATTGTTAAACAGGTAGGTCATTAAATGAGAAATATCTGTACATGCTCTAGCATCTACCAGGAATTTGTAGGTTGGTAGGGAGGCAGTATCTCTAAAAAGCTGGGCTGACATTACATAAATACTGTGTGCCACAATACTATCTGAAAGGAAGCAGAGGTGTGGATGCTCCCTCACGCTGCCATGACTTGCTACTTCTCGGGGACTTGGTAGATCTATCTGATGAACTGAACAATAATTGTTGGCACAAAGTAAGTGCCTGATAAACATTCCATGAATAAATGAGTAAACAAGTTTCTTGGGGAATGACAATTTTTGTTTTTAATGGTTTTTTTTTTCTCCCTACTGGCTTTCTAATCTGGCTGTACATCTGAATTACCTTTAGAATGCTTTTTTCAAAAACATCCATGCTGGGTCCCACTCTCAGCAAATTCAACCAGAATCTCTCGTGGTGTAAGAGGAGAATTGGCAAGAGTAATGTTTTTTATTTTATTTAACTTTTTTGCTTGAATTCTTTTATTGGTACATTTTAGGTATACAGTATGTTTACATTTATCATTGGGTGCTTGTACCTGTACATGATGTATCTTATTTTTCCCCCATTACCTGTGCACCCTTCACCCCCTCCTCCCTTCCCTATTAATAAAGACTTTGTTTCTACTTTTTTTCTCTTCTCATAATTTTTCCTTTCCCCTTCCCTTCCCACCACCCCTACCCCTTTGGATCATTTCTTCCTATTTCAAATTATCAATTATTCATTTTAATCATTTTAACCCTTATTTACACATTCAGTTTCTCACACTAGAGAAACTATTAGGTATTACACATGTGTGTCCTATTTATTTCACTTAAGAGGATGGCTTCAACGTGCATCCATTTAGCTATAAATGTCTCTAGTTTCTCAATCTTTATGGCTGAGTAGTACTCCATTTTATTAAAAAAACCACATATTCTTGATCCAGTTTCCAGTTGATGGGCACTTGGGCTGTTTCCAAGCTTTAGCTATTATGAATTGTGCCACTATAAACATGGGTGCACATATATTGCTGTGGTATGATTCTTTTAATTCTTTTGGGAAGATACCCAGCAGGAGAATAGCTGGGTCAAATGGGACCTCTAGTCCTAGTTCTTCGAGGTATCTCCATACTGATTTCCACAGTGGTTGCACCAGTCTACACTCCCACCAACAATGGAGAAGGGGTCCTTTCTCCCCACACCCCCGCCAGCATTTGTTATTGGTTGATTTCTTTTTTGGTAATGGGGATCGAACTCAGGACCTTGTGCTTGCGAGGCAGACACCAGAACCACTGAGCTAAATCCCTGGCCCTGGTTGATTTCTTAATCTCCTGGAAATCTGTTTGCATCTGTTTTATGGATTCCATTTGTTTCCTATGTTGGGATTCCATCATGTTCCTCAGATTCTCTATTTT